TTTTATTAGTTATCTTTTATTCAAACTAAAAGAAGTAATAATGAAACAAAAGAGTAAAAGTATTTGTATAAATTCTTTTCAGTACTAATTGTAGTTAGTCGTTTAAAACATAACAATATATGATTATAATAACAATGAGACTCTATATGAAATGAATAATTCTTAATTATTGTATTTTGTCATAATAATTGTAGTTATATTTCAAATAATCAAGTGAGATATATAACTAATTATTATTTAATTATCATTACATTATTCATAGTTTGTTTTATTCTATTAAAAATAACAATATCACACAATGTTGAGTTATTTGTATTTTCAATATCATTAACAATGTGTATTTTACTTTTATCTTTTTGTTGTTATCAATTGTTAATCCATTATCTTATGTTTGATACTAAAACTTTTGTTGAAATGATAAACTCATTTATTTATTTAGAAAACAACTCAATTTCATTTACACAGAATTCTATGAAATGGTGATAACATAATCTCGTGATATAAAACTGAGTCATTAAAACAAATCAATGAAATGAATGTGTTGAATAATACTTTCAATTCATAAGTTTATATCCAAACACTCTACTATTCTCAATGACAAACTTATGTATTTAAATCAAATAAAATATCACTATGATTTGATAATTGTTGATTATATTTTTCATGTTTATTTATCAAAAAACATTCATTTCTTATTCTTCTGGTTTTGTCTTTTGGTCATGTTTGTGAGATGTTCGTTACTAACAAGATGAAAAGACACTGGTTCGTGTTTCACTGGTTATGTGATACAATCTTCAACAACTCACTATTGTGATGAATGTTTCTTTTGTTCATATATCTTCAAAAAACAAGAATCAAACAACAGAAAACATTCAAGTAGAACATGATCATGATAAGTACTAGAAACAAAGATAAAAACACCTTTTATTAAGAGTGTTGAAATGAACAACATTGATTAAATATGATCATGAACTTCTTTCTAAGTTGAGTTCAAAAAAGAAAAAAAAACTGAAAAGAAGTAATGCAACAAAACACACCACAAAAACCACAAACACCATCAGATGAAAGTTATCGATTTTATCAACTCCTTCTATTTAACTTCTCACAATTTATTGCGGATGAAGACTTCAACAGATATTGGGATGTTTTCACTGGAGAAAAAGGATTTGAAACACTTGCACCAGAAGATAAACCATGGGAGACAGAAGGAGCAAATCTCGAAGAATATTTCAACTATGGATTTAATGAAAAGACGTGGTCGGGGTATGCAAAGAAACTGAGAGAGTTGTACAAAAACTCGTTAGCAGAAAAAGAAATCACAACAGTGGACACAACAGTCAAAACAAAACAAGCAATCATGGACTTAGAACCAAAAAACAAAATAAAAAATGAGCCAAAAATCGAGGAAAGCAAAGAAGAACCAAAGAAAGAAGAACATCGAGAACGAGGGAATGATAAGCATGAAGAAAGAAAAACACATCAAAGTGAGAAGAGAGATGATAGAGACAAAGAAAATAAAAGAGAAGATGGGGATAAAGAAAGTAAGAGAGAAGAAAGAGATAGAGAACGTAGAAGAGAAAACAGAGACAAAGAAAGAGAGCGTAAAAGAGAAAGCAGAGACAAAGAAAGTAGAAGAGAAAACAGAGATAAAGAAAGTAGAAGAGAACGTGATGAATACAAAAGAAGGGAACATGAGAGTCGAAAAGAACATAGTCGAAGATCTAGGTCTAGAAGACGTGAACGATCACCACGAAGAAAACATTAGAAAATAGACAAATCAAATTTGTAATTGAAAATGGAATTAGTTGAATGATAATTTAATGATAATTTGTAAGTAAGTATTTGAGATATTTAGAGAAAAACAAAGAAAAGAGAGTAAAAAGGAAAAAGAATTAAATACAACGATTTAATTAAGTGGTACATGAAGAAGTAATTCTAACATGTCAAGAAATTGAAAAGATAGAAGTTAAAATTGAATAAGGAATAGCAGAGATAAAGACGGAAACAAACAAAAACTATAATATAATACCCCTACATTTTACCCCTACGAAGAAAAAGAAGGAATAGTAAAAATAATAGAAATAGAATAAAAATAATTCAAAAGAATACTTTTGGAAACAGATTAAAAAAACAATTTAGAAATAGTTTCAATTCTTTTTGTAACCTTTCAGAAAAACATAACTCTTCACTACTTAATTTAAAGAGATGAATACTAAAGGTGATGCTATCTCATTAGAAGAAGAAACAACCCAATCAATATTAACAACTGAAGATATGTTTAGTATAGATGATACTAATACAAATATTAAAAAAATAGAAGAAAAACCATTTAAAGTATTGATGGTAGGAGATGAAGGAGTAGGGAAGACTTGTTTAGTGAAGCAATTTATTGTTTGTTAATTTATTTCCCATTATTTGGGAATCAAAAAAAAAACAAGAAATAACCAAATAGAATAAAAAGAATAAAGAAGATGGAAAATCTAATATTTGTTATACTAAAATAATAAATATTTCAGGAGATGATATTGTATTACAAGTTGTTTGTTTTTATTTTATTAATTCATTTGGTTTAATAGAAAAATCAAATAATAAATATGTAGTGGGATTTTGAATCAAAACAACAAGATTCAATGATGTCAAGAAGTTATTATGAAGGATGTAATGTTGTCATTGTAGTATTTGATATTTCTGATAGAACAACATATGAAAGTGTTAAAGGATGGTTAAAAGATGTTGGGTATTATGCACCTAAAGATATTATTAAATATCTTGTAGGAAATAAAACTGATTTAGCTGCAAATAGAATTGTTTCTAGTCAAGAGGCAGAAGACCTTGCTAAAAGAGAAGGGTTTGAATATATTGAAACAAGTGCTAAATCAAATAATAATGTAGATGAATTATTTCAACAAATTGGAAGATTATTAGTTCAAAATAATTTATTAATAACAACAAATACACCACAACCATTTCCTAAATTAAAGAAGAAAACACAGTGTTGTATTATTGTATAAAGAAATCATGATTTTTATATTAAGAATTTATTACATTAAGAATAAAAAAAAATTCTCATTTAAATCTTTTTTCATTTCAAATCACGTTTCAATCAATTATTTTCTATTTAAATTCTTCTCAATTTTTATTTTCTTCTTTCTCTTTTATTGTTTTTTTTTGTTTTTTAGCATGTTTCATTCTATTTAATTCTTTCTTCTTTTCACTAAGAATCATTGTATCTCTAATTGTTTTTGTATGCATTAATTCTTTAGGAAGATGAATATGATTTGCTATTCTTCGAATTTCTGGCATATCTTTATATTTCTTTTTTAATCCATTAAGATAATTAAGTTTAGCAATTTCTCTTTTATCTTTAATTTTAGTTGATTCACTTGCAAATGCTTTCCATATTCTAATATTTCCTTCATCTGATCCACTAAATATATAATGTCCATCTCCACTATAACAAACATTAAATACTTTTTGCATTCTTTGTGTATGATAACAATCTCTTGCATATCCACACCATTCATTATAAATTCTAATACATTTATCATATGATCCTGTAGTAAATTCTCTTCCTGTAGGTGAATAATCTACTGTAAGTACTGGTCCAAGATGTCCTTTATGAATTGTACGTGCTTCATTAAGTTTTCTTATATCATAAGTATAAAGATTCCAATCATCACTACATGCAGTAAACATATATACTTGTTGTGGATTCCATGATAAATCATTATATCTTCTTACTCCATAGACTGTTTTAATTGGTGTATTTGCTCGTAGATCAATTAATATAATACTTCGATTTCCTCCTGTTATTCCAACAACATTATTTTCTGTTGGACTAATTTTACATCCTAAAACTCCATCTGTTTCTGTATCATAATGTTGTACAATTTCATTTCTATTAAATGTCCATAAATCAAGTCCTTCACTTGTTCCTGTACAAAAATCTTCTGTTCCTCTTCTTGTATCAATACATGAAAATGGTAATTCATGATTATATGTCATTAATGGTGCATTTACTTTTGCTGGTTTACTATCTTCTTCTGTAGAAATTGATAATGGCCATAATTTACATGTATGGTCTGTTGAACATGTAACAATATATGGTATTTTTGTTGTAGAAACACTAATTCCTTTACAAACAGTATCATGTGCTTGAATATTATACAAACACTGTTTTGTTCCAACATTCCATACCCTTACTTCTCCATCATATCCTCCACTTGCCATATATGATATTTCATTTCCTGTTCGAGTTATACATGTTACTCCATCTGGATGTCCTGCTAAATTCCCTATAAATGGTTTAGCAAATATTTTATCTAATTTTGTTGCATTTAATGCTCGTTTATATTCTCGTGCTTGTGCAAATGGATGATCTTCTTCTTTCATTGAACGTTGAACACGTGCTAAGTCATTTGGTAATTCTTTGTATTCTGTAAGAACGTCTCGTG